TCTATAGATTTCTGTTTTATATCAGTTTCTGCTTGTGAATTTTTCTGTAAATTGGTGGCAGTGATAATGGTTTAGGTCAGTGTCTTTTTACTTTTTCATGAGATTGCATTGAAAATATAATTTAGTCTTCAGTTAGGTTGATGACGATGACTACTACTTACTACTACTACTACTGGTTTTTATTTTTCTTTCATTCTTCAGACAGGTCTTCCTATGTTTCCTAGGCTGGCGTTGAACTCATGATCCTCCTGTCTCAGCTCCTGAGTGCTGGGATTACAGGCATGTGTAATCATGTTCAGCTGTATTAGTTAAGGTTGACCTGATAATTTTTTTTTTTAATTTTGGAGACTGGGTCTTGCTATGTAGCTCTCAGGCTAGTATTGAACTTGTGATTCTCCTACTTTTGCCTCCAATGCTAGGATTGTAGATCACGTGCAAGTGGGTAAATGTTTTGCACACATCATGGGTATGGGTAAATATGATGTATATATTACATAGTGCTTCGGAGTTGGTTGTGAGACCACTGTCTGTAGCAGTTTTGGAGAACTACTCTTTATGCAGTGTACACAGTGTGGTGTTTAACAGTGAGGTTGTGAGAGTCTGTTTGCTGGATCTGGCATTCTCTCTCCTCCTGTCTTGTGCAGCTCAGGTACTCTGTGCTTCTGGACTCAATTTTTAAGGATGGTTTGGAGTACTCAGTGAGTTAACAGGTACAACATAAACACAATGTATTATGAACCATTAGTCACTTGCCCATTGCTGATCTGTACAGTAAATAATATTGAAGCAGAAGAAAGCACTGACTATAAAGTAAAAAATGATGGCACACTGGCTTGCATTACCAGGAGACCGAACTGAGTGAAACGTCAAGTCACACAGTGGTAGGCGCCATGTATCGTAGCAGCTCCACCCTAGGTGTGTTCTCAGCAGAAATGTGTGTGTGAACCAAAAGATGTGGAGGAGTGCAGGAGCACTATTCCAAGTTCTCTAAAACTGGAAACAGCTTAAGTATGTGCAAGAGCTGCATGGAAAGTTAATTGTGACATGCTCACATAGCAGAAACTGTGAAGTCAGGAGGCAAATGAAGTTGTGTGTTCAAGAAATGAATAACTTTCACAAACATAGTGTTGAGACAAAAGAAACCAGACTCTCACAGTTCAGTATTGAATGATTCTGTAGACAAGTTCAAAACATCTTTGAAAACAGGTAAACTGAATGTATGGTGTTAGAGTCGGGAGAAGTAGTTAGCTTTGGAGAGTGGGGAGGAAGTGGAAGTCTGGCTTCTGGGCTGCTGGTGGTGTTGTGTTTTGTGTAATACACATATGAACAAACACACTGAAGATTTGTGGGTTTTTTTCTGTTTGTAGAACTTTTCAGTAAGGAGGTCATTAAAGTGGCATAGAATATAAAATAGCTTGTTAAGCAACAGTGAGAAACCAGCCAAATACTTGCAGTAATGCACATAGTCTTACAAAATGCATATTCTGATTTTGTTTTTTTAAAGTTCAAAAAGTTAATGCCAGGTTGTTGTTTAGGGACACATAGGCAGCTAGTGAGGGAGGCAGTAGTGAGGGAAGCAGAGCCACTGTGAGTATTATGGAATAAAGAACTCTTTTTTACAGAAATAAGATCTTATACAACTCTGGGAGAAACTGGAAACAAGAGCCCAAAAGGAGGGACTATAGGATCAGGGAAATTCATTAAGCCACCTTTCCTGAAGCACCTGTGTTTGGGTAGGCAGGTCAGCTGCTAGCACCTGCTAGCGTGAGACCACATGGGCAAACTGATGAAAAAGTGTGTGATAGGTCTGCTCTTAGCATGTAGTGGGAGCTGGGGACTTCTGTTGGTTGGCGAGGCCAACAGCTAGGAGAAAAGCTCTTGAGAGAAGAGTGTGCAGACAGTCTGGTACCTGCCGCACCTCCTTTTCTTTGTTTCAACATCTCTTTGGAAAGTAGTGGCTGTTTCTTCTCCATATCTCTCTGTTACCACCTCAGCTACCACAGCCTTGGAAAGTAATGGGTGTTTCACTTTCACCTTTTAAATCTTGTGCAAATGCAGGAAAGGGCATCGTGGGAAATCCAGTCTAAGCAAATCATTGGAGTTAGAAATTGCCACAGTGATGGTTGCACAAGTTTATATGTAAACTTTTAAAAACACTTCTCAAGTTGGTAGAGTTTATGGTATGTGAATTATGTCTTAATAAAGTTGGTATTTAAGCAAAAACAACCATAGGTTGAAACTGTAAAGGGAAGCATGGAAACAATTAGTAAAAAAGTTAGGCTGGTGATTCCTTTGTGGGAGGAGGGCTTATGAGAAGGAGTTTTCCACAGTTTAGAAAAGTTTGTCCTTCATAGGAGAGAGGGTCCACACGTGCTTACTTATTAACATGCAGTCCTGTGGTGGCAGGGAGTAAAATAGCCCAGTTTACAAAGTTATGGTCATAGTCATTTTCTAGCTTTATAAAGATGAGAAGATGCTAACCTGGATGATCTCAGGGTTCCTCCTTGAGGTCTGGATTCCAGAATGGTAATTGTTTTTTTTTTACCAGGTTATACCTATGTTACCCTAAACTGCTGATCTTTGAAAAACTAGAGAGTAGTAACTATGATGCTTGTTAACTAGGGCTCCAGACAGGTCTGAGAGTAAGTTTTTAAAATAGGTCAGTGGGGTAGTTGTGTCACTTTTAACTGAACGTATTAGATTTCAAAATCTGAGCCACGATTTCTTTGTACTTAAAAGTAGATTTTTACAGATTCATTAAATCTTCCATATCAAATCTGTTTTGATAATCAGAGAAACTGGAGCATTGTCATCATCTTTATGTACTGGAAAATGCCCCTATCTGCTCCCTACTTACGTGGTGCCACTTTTCATTGAATGCTTGTTAGGGCTCTTTTCATTCTGTATTTAATAAGGAAGCAATTGTCCAAGTAAAAGGCATGCAGCTTTCCTGCCGGGGTAGTAGTCATACTGTAGTTTTGAAATGGATGTGAAAGTTTTTTAGAGAAGTTCAAAACAGAGAGTATCGTGTATCATTTGTATGCAAAGGTTAGATTTTTTTTTATTTTGATCTAGTTATGTAGGCTTTTAGCTGCTGCTTTTGGTGTAGAACATACATAGAATGTTTTTTTGAATGAGATTATTTCGACATGGTTTAAATTTGTAACAATAGTCTCCTTATTACTAGTGGTACCTTCAGACTATTTGTAAAACTTCAGAGATACATTTGTCACATAATGAGATTCTTCAGAGTTTGATGATTTGAGTCAGATGTCACTTTTAATGCCTCTTCCATTAAGAAATAAATTTTGATGTTTTCTAAACCAATTCTTAAGCATTATGTCTGCTAATCCTTTTCATTCAGTGGTCATTTGGCGTGCCTACCGAGTACTGTTAAAGAAAAATTTATTCATGATACGCCTGCCCTCACATAACCCCTCCCCCAAACCAGTTAAACAGTAGCCAGACTGTATTCAGGTGGCTATCCATAGGAGTACAGCAATGGAGTTTTGCAGTAGGGGAGAGAGCGGACCCAATTCTGGGTACAAGGACAGATGAGGATTTATAGCCACGAAGCTGGTGGATGGAAAATTACTAAGAAGAACATGTAATGAGGGAAGGAGCAAGGGAGAGAAGGAGGGGGAAGGGGGAGGGAGAAATTATGACCGGTGTTAAAATAAGCATGGTGGTGCATGCCTGTAGTTCCAGTATTCAGGAGACTGAGGCAAGAAGACTGTGAGTTCAAGGCAAGCCTGGGGTACATAGCACATTCCAGACCAAGACAGGACTATATAGGGAGACCTTATCTCATGAAATAAAAAAACAAAACTACAAAGACAAAAACCCTCTGTTTTTAGTTACAGAAGGATCTGACTTGGGAGCTAGAACCAGTAGGATTTAATATGACCTCTAAGATGTGTTAGCTGTTACCTTTTTCCAAAACTGACATAAGACAGATTAACAAGAGAAAAGATAGATTCTAGTCATATAGGTACTTATTTCAGGGGTATTTACAAAGAAAGATGACTGAAAGGAACCAGAATTTAGGACTTGTATGCCATCTTAATAAGGTGGAGGGGAGGCAGAGAGAGGGCACTTATATGAAAACACGTAGCTCTTTGAAAAGTTAAAGGGCCCTTAGGATAGATGGGAGGTAGGCTAGTTTTGTGATGTGATTTGGATATGTAGTCTGTTTGGGTGTCTTCTTACCTCACAAGATTTGAGTTGTTCCTGAGCAGGGGATTTATAACAATTTAGTTCTTTTGGGAGGCTCTACATTTAGGCAGATAAGGCATTTTAGAACTCAAATACTTTGAGCTTAAATTTTTTTTTAAAATGCTATGGTGACCTATTCTGGATCCCTTTTTGGCAAGGGAAGGGAGAAATTACTGAGATTCTGACTTGAGAGTGGTACTATAGAGAATGAAATACATAAAGAAGAACAGCTTTTTGCAAATTTGGTATTTATATTTTGTAGTTGAGCTTGGAGCACAAGTTGGTTATTTAGGTAGAGATCCTAGGAGGCAGTTGGGATGTAGAGATGTAGATCTGGGAGCTCAGGAGAGAGCTTAAAGAA